TTCAGCTGATGTCTTCTTCAAAATATTGCGTTAAAGACCTGCCGTGAGAGCAGTCAAGTCTTTTTCAGTTTGAACAAGCTTTCGATTCTACATATCTAGCAGCTGATAATAGCATGCACCTATCTAGGGTTTTAAAAGATAGATCCCTTTATTGTTTTATATATAATTTTTTTATACAGTATTATGATATGCAGAACAAAGCTTGAAAAACGTTTACACAAATTTACTGGCAATTCTATTTTTTTATGCCCCTTATCTAAGAGAAGCCCATGAAACCAAAACAACAGCAACAACAATATCCATACAGGTAATGATGATGATGATGATGATGATGGTGATGCTGCTGCTGCTGCTGCTGCTGCTGCTGATGATGATGATGATGATGATGATGATGATGATGATGATGATGATGATGATGATGATGATGATATCAGTAATAAAGAAATAAATAGTGACTCTATTGTTGCTAATAAGGGGCCTCAAAACAATTAAAACAGCAGGGTCCCCCAAAAAGTGGAGGTTCATCACTGCACTAACCACACCCACACCCAGAAGGACTTACGGTCACCTTGCGCATATTAAAACGTTATTGTTTACTTCTAGGGAACCCCATATTCTACAGGTCACGAACGTGCAGGATGGTACTTATGCATAACATTGCGCTCACCCTCACTTCGCTGCGAAAACTGGTCATCTCGCGTGAGTTTTTCGCGGGCAGCGTGCTAAAAAAGGCGAGCAGACGTGTCCGGCCAACGTCTCAAGCTATTCGCGGCCCCGGCAGCGCGCATTGCGTTCTTCTCCTCCACTCACAAGAGAGCTTTTCTTGAGCGCGTGTTTGCGACTTGTTGCTCTCTCTCTTTGATCCGTTGGGAGAAAACAGAGGGGACACACGGACACTTCCCTTTTCATAGGTCAGAATCTTTTCTCGGTCTTTGCTCAGCTCACACCCATGCTCGCATGTCAGCAGGCGCGTGTAAACTATTTTTAATCCGTAAGGCGCACACTTTTCCTTAACCTTTCACAGAGGATTAGCCTAAAAATAGCATACTTAGAGAATACTTTTATTTTGTTTCTGATTGAGATGAAATGAATAAAGTAAAGTTTACTATTTTCCTATTTTTTTGGAATGATTAAAACCTATGAAATAGAGTATTATCCATACGTAAAACAGACATACATTACTTGTGAAGGAGATATGTGTTTCATGGGAAAGAAGAAAAAGAAGTAGAAGAAAGCTGAAAAGTTACCTCGTACTCACACCGAGGTCAAACGTTCAGACGTCAGGGCTGTGCAGCGCGGTGGCACTTCATACTACGTGTGTTGGAAGGTAATAAAAAAAAAGCATGCACGGAGGTCACGATAATAGATGTGTCATGAGAACTGTGTTTCCTGCAACATTGTCAGAATGACAATGCCAAGGTTTAAACTTGTTTAAGTTTCAATGGCATTAAACAGTGGAACGAATATAAAATATACCTATCTATTTCTTACCATAGAGTTCTGAATGGTCACTTGCTGGTATCAACCTTTTATTACCTTTGTCAACCTTTTTTTATTCGCTAAAACTTTTTCTGATTTCAATTATTCATCTTCTAGATTTGATCTTTAGTTTGCTGTTTTCTTGGATTCCTGCTATTTTGTTCTCTGTATTAAAAAAAACAACAACTTAAAAAATCAAATTTAGAAATACATTATGTAATGTAACCAACATAATCGTTCTTGTTTCCTTTCAAAGCAAACCATACACACTGTTACAAAACTTTTGATACTTTAAAGTTAAATCTCGAAGTCAAAACTCCCACGCCAAACATGTTTTTGTTTTCACAATGTTTCGCAAAAAAAAAGAACAATTTACGTGAACTTTTGGAGTACCAGAAGATATTTGAGAACTGTTTTTATGTATGATACGATTAATGGGAAACAATACTAGCATAGTCGAGAAAAATGATGAAATAACGCCAAAAAAAGACAATACATCAGTGACACATTGTAATAATCTTACCTATCCACAGTTGCTCACATAAGGACATAGTTATTCATCCATAATACTGCTGCTCAGTGGCGACGAGGCTCTGACCGATTTGCTTTTACCTTTCTTTTATTATTGAAATTTTAGTGAGAGTAATATATGATTAATTCAATTTGTATATTAACTGCATGTGCTTTTACGGCCCAGTATAACCAAAAAAATGTCCCTCTGGGATAATAAAGTATTATCTTATCTTATCTTATCTTTAATCAAGTGGGACTCTGTTAAGATACTCACATTTCTACATTGTATTTTTACCTTTGCATTTACTCAAGTAACCTATCACCGTTCAGTGACTTTGTTTGTACTTTTTCTGCTAACAATTACGACAAGCAAGATAATCTGATAATAAAGGATGGTTTTGCAGGAGCATCGTGAGCTGTCATTTCGTCATGAGTCCGTGGAATCCAAGATTATATAAGGAGTGCCAAAAAGAGTTACATCCCAAATTTTAGCCCTAAAAAACCTACAATTTGGTCTCTTTGTCCATTTGTGGATTCTTAAAAGTAACTCATTTTGTCAGCACGCCTAAAAAGACGGGCTGCTCGTCCAGATAACTTTCCCAAGGGTTCAAGTGCCTGCCTTTAAAATGACATTTTTACGTCTTGTTGCGTGTAGAATTTATTATTTTTTAAAAGCAACATTTCACCCCCCTCCCTCTCCAAGTGATCAAAAATTGTTTACCCCATGTTGTTAAATGCTGTTTAAAGTTTTTGAAAGCGGGGTACTTGATCGTTTGCCAGGATAATGGGTCAAGAGGATAATAATTATGAGAAAACACGATAAATGCAACACTCTGACTCGACTCTTGAACTTTAATACTGCAGGTTTGCCTGCAAAGCCAGCTAGAAGTGAAAAGACTGCTGTTGATTTCAGCGAAGAGGATTGTTGGTGTTTACTGTGGTGTGATCTATTGTTTTAATTCCAAAAGTGCTGTGTCAGTTTTCCGTGCATTCCTAGGCATCATGACTCAAAGCGAGTTTTATTTTGTTGTTACCTGTCAGCAATTATTTTACACAACATTTCTTTTGAGCAATATCTTGTCTTGTTGTTTGTGCCTTATTTCAGTGGGTTCAAATTAACCCGTTATGGGCTTCTTGTATGATTTAAACACGTGACGACATTTCCAATAGATCACGAATGGCTTTACATTTAATGGATGTGTACTAAATGTCTGAGAAACATTCTTTACAATGCCGATGTTTGAGAGAACCATTTATGAAAACGTACCAGATATTTTTTGCATAGACATTTTGTGATTTTGTTTGGATACGTATAGGCGTGACAGGAAAGCAGTAGTTGTAGAGGACACAGAGAGAAAGAGAGAGAGAGAGAGAGAGAGAGAGAGAGAGAGAGAGAGAGAGAGAGAGA